TATTATTTACCTTCTATAATTGAAACTTTGTAGCCTTGAGAGGAGCTCAGATCCGGCCAGGGCAGGTGGGAGGGAAGCCTCCTGGCTCCAGCTCACTCCAGCTCCGTGGCCATGGCCGGCTGAAAGCAGGTATCTGGGGTTTATTTACCTTCTATCATTGAAACTTTGTTGCTTTGAGTGGAGCTCAGAGCCTGACGTGGCAAGCGGGAAGCTTGGCTTCCTCCATCATTGGGGCAACCAAGCCTCCTGCTTGCTCCAGCTCAGTGGCTGCCGGCCGCCATCTTGGTTGGGTTAATTTGCATATAGTCGCTCTGATTGGCTGGTGGGCGTGGCTTAAGGTGTAGCAAAGGTACGGTCAATTTGCATGTTTGTCTTTTATTACTGTAGATAGGCACAGGTCATTGACATAGGTAATAGGATAGTGTAGACATGGCAGGATAGGTAGGGGCTGAGAGGATGAGAGTAAATGGGGGTTGGTAGGGGCAATACTTGTAATACTATCAACAATAAAAATTTTATTTATCGTAAAAAAAAAAAATACAGCTAGATGCCCAGACCACACACCACAGAACCGTCTGAGCTGGGAAAAAAACGAAGCAGGGAAAAAGCAAGCTAGAGCTCACCAGGTGGAAGGCAGGGGCAAGCAGGAGGAAGAGAATTCAGGTTCGTTCATTCATTCAGCAAATATTTAATGAACCTACTATGTGCCAGGGACTGTTCTGGGCATCTGCAATGAAGGAATAAGGTACATGTATAATCCCTTGCCTCATGAAGTTTCCCATATAGTAGGGGAGGCTAACAACTTATCCTATATAATAAAGAGGTAATATGCAAATTGACCATCACTCCAACACACAAGATGGCTGCAACAAGATGGCCAGCAGGGGACGGCAGGGGGCAACCACCAGGCCAGCACGGGAGGGCAATTGGGAGGGACCAGGCCTGCAAGGGAGGGCAGTTAGGGGTGACCAAGCCTGCAGGGGAGGGCAGTAGGGGTAACCAGGCCTGCAGGGAAGGTCAGTTGGGGGGACCAGGCCTGCAGGGGAGGGCAGTTGGGGGTGACCAGGCCTGCAGGGGAGGATAGTTAGGGGTGACCGGGCCAGCAGGGGAGGAAGGGCAGTTAGGGGGGACCAGGCTGGCAGGGGCGGACAGTTGGGGGTGACCAGGCCTGCAGGGGAGGACAGTTAGGGGTGAGCAGGCCTGCAGGGGAGTGGTTAGGGGGTGATCAGGCTGGCAGGCAGAAGCAGTTAGGGGCAATCAGGCAGACGAGTGGTTGGGAGCCAGCAGTCCTGGATTGTGAGAGGGATGTCTGACTGCCCGTTTAGGCCCGATCCCACCGGGCAGTCGGAGATCCCTCGAGGGTTCCCAGATTAGAGAGGGTGCAGGCTGGGCCAAGGGACACACACACACACACACACACCCCATGCACAAATTTCGTGCACCAGGCCTCTAGTATATATATATAAATGATGTCAGGCCATAAATAGGTAAAACTGGTGCAAAGATCCCAAGGCCAGAAGGTTCTTGGTATGTTTTAGAAGTAGCAAGAAAGCCAACATGGCCAAAATAGAGTGTGTACAGGAAATAACGGGTGAGAGGGTGTGTAAGGGCTAGAACTGTAGGTCCGTAGAGGCCACAGAAAAAAGTTTGGATTTCATCCTGGATATAATTGGGAGTTTGAAGATGTTAGAGGTTTTGAAGTAGGACAGTAACATAACCTGATCTGCATTTTAAAATGTTTCTATTTGGAAACATGCCAAGTGTCCATCAGCAGATGAATGGATAAAAAAAAAGCTGTAGTACATCTACAAAATGGAATAGTACATGGCAGTAAAAAAGAAGGAACTCTTACCATTTGCAACAGCATGGATGGACCTGGAGAGCAAAGTGTTAACTGAAATAAGCCAGTCAGAGAAAGATAAGTATTTCTATACTTGAATAACAAACTCTCAGAAAGAGAAACTAAAAAGCAATCACATTTACCATTGCAACAACAACAACCAAAGATATCTTTGAATAAACTTAACCACAGAGGTAATTCAGAAAACTACAGGACACTGAAAAAAGAAATAGAAGAAGATACAAACAAATGGAAGAATATACATTGTTAATGGATTAGAAGAATTAACATAATCAAAATGTCCATACTACACAAAGCAATCCACAACTCAATGCAATTCCTATTAAAATACCAACAGTATATTGCACAAATCTAGAACAAATACTCCAAAAATTTATATGGAACCAAAAATGACCCCAATTAGTCGCAACAATCTTGAGAAAGAAGAACAAAGTAGGAGAGATCACAGTATGGATATTGAACAATACTATAAACCCACTGTAACCAAAACAGCCTGATACTGGCACAATAACAACCATATAGATCAGTGGAACAGACCAGAGAACCCATAAATCAACCAGAGACATTACGCTCAATTAATATTTGACAAAGGAGGCAAAATCATACAATGCAGTAAAGACAGTCTCTTCAATAAATGGTGTTGGGAAACCTGGACAGGTACATGTAAAAAATGAAACTAGACTACCAACTTACACCATACACAATATTACACTGAAAATGGATAAAAGATAAAAGACTTAAACATAAGATGTGAAACCATAAAAACCCTAGAAGAAACCACAGGCAGCAAAATCTCAGAAATCTCCTGTAGCAATATGTTTGCTAATACATTATCTAGGGCAGCGGTTCTCAACCTGTGGGTCGCGACCCCGTTGGCGGTTGAACGACCCTTTCACAGGGGTAGCCTAAGACCATCCTGCATATCAGATATTTACATTATGATTCATAACAGTAGCAACATTACAGTTATGAAGTAGAAATGAAAATAATTTTATGGTTGGGTCACAACATGAGGAACTGTATTTAAAGGGCCAGAAGGTTGAGAACCACTGATCTAGGGCAAGGAAAACAAAGGAAAAATAAACAAATGGGACTGCATCAAAATAAAAAGGTTCTGCACAGCAAAGTAAACCATCAACAAAATGGAAAAGTAGCCCATTCTATGGGATAACATATTTGACAATGATATATATTTGATAAGTGGTTAATTTCCAAAATATATAAAGAACTCGCCGAAACCGGTTTGGCTCAGTGGATAGAGCGTCGGCCTGCGGACTGAAAGGTCCCAGGTTCCATTCCAGTCAGGGGCATGTACCTGGGTTGCGGGCAC